GACAGACAGACAGACAGACAGACAGACAGATACAGACAGACAGATACAGACAGACAGATACAGACAGACCGAGGGTATGAATGAGTCTTCAGTTGTCAGTTAATGATCCTCAGCCTGCGGTTACAAACAGGAAAATCACTGTGGGACCATCACTCACACGCCAGATTATTTCGTTTGGCGGCGCTGTGACCATTACTGGCGACAGCTGTGTGGACATGATGGATACGTGGCAGACACTTCTGGCCTGAGTACGTTTCAATTATAGTCCTCTCACCGACTCCCTCTGCGATCAGTCAGAACCTTCTCAATTTCCTTCTGCGGTGATGAAATTGTTCAATTATGTGTCAGAAGCATTTATAAAGCATTCATACGGACCATCATGTGTTTTCTTATTCTTTCAGCTTCTATCATAAATAGATGTCTGATTCTTACTCAACAACTACAGTCTTTTATGTTCAATCATCAGAAACAGTTTTTAATCCATTGTTGACAGTTATTTGTCTGTTTTTTTCGGGCTGCAGCTCAGTTTACGCTGTATTCTCATGATGCCTAAATGGTATTATGTTTAGTTTTTATCAGCCAATCAGCTTTTCCCCCAATTATCTGAATGTGGAGGAGTTTTAATGGATGAAATGTGTAAAATGTTTGTTATCAATTATGTCTGATCCGTGTTCAAACTGAAAGTAAAACAGTTTCAGGTTAGCAGTAAAGATTATAATTGCCTGTGTTTTAATTTAATCCATTATTATTTGTTTTTTTGTTATTGATGACTACTTTATACTTCTACTCAACTACAATTTAGAGGGACTACTACTACTACTACTGCTGATACCTTTAAATGGTCCAGTGTATAACATTTAGGATGATCTATTGGCAGAAATATAATATAATATTCATTGGTATGTTTTCATTAGAGTATAATCACCTTAAAATAAGAATCGTTGTCTTTTTGTTACCTTAGAATGAGCTGTTATAATCTACAGAGGGAGTCCGCCATGTTGAACTGCCATGTTTCTACAGAACTAACAAACCAAACACTGACTCTAAATGGGGCCGTTCGTGTTTTTTGTTTGCTTTGAAGGGGAAGGTGAAGCGAGTGATCTGCCCCTATACCACTATATGCCTCTAAACCTTACAGCCTGGTCCTTTAATGAAAGTGAAATAAGCCTAAACAGTGGTTTAAAACTCTGGAAGAAAAGAAAAAAAGACTTGAAGAAGCTGCATGTCATCTGTTACACAGATGCTACTTGAAAAGACCACTGAGGATATTTCTGACACGAGTAAAATATGACTTTGTCGACTGTTAACTTGTATTGAATTATAAGTAGCCTACAAGCGCTATAATTGGATTATACATTTGAAAAACTTAACCTGTGTTTGAGGATGCTGGTTTGGTTTTGGGGCAGGACCAGAGACAGGACGTCGAACACTGGCTTTTGTTGATTCATACAGTCGATGCGTGACCTCTATCTGCTGCACACATGGTCAGATCACGGCTCAGCAGTGATTAATGTGTTACACCTCAGATACATTTTACAGGCTGCAGCAGAAACACGTTGCAGGTGAACTAAAATATGTTACATACGAGTTAATTTAACTAGAATCTGGTTCAAATATAAAACAAATTTTAAATTCTATTCTAAGTTATCATGCTATCTTATTATGTTCAGTTGTATTATAGTATAACAAGACTACAGTCAGGCTTTAATGTACAGTTAATGTGGACAGCACCTTAATGTCTTTTAGGCCAGGTGTCAACCATAAGATGTGTGGTTGGAGGCTGTGTCTGATTGCCAAATGCAATTTACACCTTGATGCTAGAACTGTCACAGCTGCCACAGTTGTTTTTATTTTGCCGCCCCTCTGCCACTGCCCCCAGGCCCACCACGAATGTCTGAGGAACTTTCCTGGTTGTGTATATATTACCAGCTCACCAGCACGTCATGTTGTGCACTTGAGTTCTAGCCATTTTCTACCTGATGTCTGCTTTATGTGTTTATGACCTGCCTGCCTGGCCCCTCTGGATTTGTTTGCTTGTTTGGATCTCCTCCTCATGTCTGACTGCAAGCCTGTTAATCTGAACATCCACTTATTAAAGTCCTTTTTATTTGACCTGTTCTGCCTCAGTGTCTGCATTTACGTCCCACGTTTTGGTTCAGAGCTGAACATTGATGAAAATTTTTGTCTTCACTATACGAATAGATCAAGAGACAAAGAGACATTGGTAGAGAGTTGGAGAGAAATAAGAAACTGAAACTAAAAAGAAACTAAAGCTTGACTTTATCTGGCCCCTATATCACTTAAAAGCAGTCGATGATAGACCCTGCAAAAATGTCATTTCATCCTTTACGCTGGTCAAAACAGTGGCAAACATAAAGCACCAGCAACATCTTTAAAGTGTTAACATGCTATCCTGAATCTTGACTCGACTTTAGAAATCTTAAAAACAGCATTTCTGTCCTGATAACATCAAAGTTCACTTCAAATGTGCTCTTCAGGAAAGAAAACTTCTGACTGAAGTAGTAAAATCACCTGCAGGCTGTGTCTGTGGTTGCGATTGAGCTCCAGCAGACTCTCTCTGGAGGCTCTGGTGGACGGGGACAGTGAGAAGGCTCTCTTCATGTTGACCGCTCCCTGACACAACCTCCACTGGATACAATACGTCTCATAGAGCTCCTCCACCTGCAGAGACAAGAGACAGACTGAGACTCAGCGGCCAAGAGTGTGTGTACAGCAACACGATCAACAAAAAAAACAGCATTTATTGTTCTTTCTTTCAAACGTAGCTCGTGTGTATCTGCTTCACAATATTATCAGCCTGAAAACAGTTGGCAGAACTTTGCATGGACTGTGGTTGCTTAATGAAACAACTCAAATTTCTGTGTTTTGTTTGTTGTTTGTTTCTCAACTGATATTGCTGCATAGCACATTAAACATAGACAAAAGGTTGGTTCAATCTGCTCAAAACTATTTGAGATTTCCTTAAAAATTTCTTAAGAACAGTCGTATCCATTACCCGATCACATCACCACAACCCAAGATCTTTTACCTTGCTGATTTGAAATTCTAATCTTCGTATATATCTCTCCAACGCTCTTATCTCCTGTGAAGGAAAACATATGATAAATATGATTATTTAAATTTATATTTTCAATGTGTTTATGATAATTCACTTAAAATATGATTTGGTTTGACTGCAGTTGGGTACAATATTATATTTCTGGTGCAAAGATTACCTTCTCCAGATCATACAGAAAGGCCTGGAAGAGAGAAAATACATCATCATCATCACCTGAAAAACAAATCAAACCACCCCCACTCACACACACAGACACAGATTCAGTTTCCTCACCAGTCTGGAGTTTCTCTTGGTTTCTCTCTGCTGTGAAGACAGGAAGTCCATCTCTGTCTGGTGACCCTCCAGAAACTCCCTGCAGACGGACACATCAGCAGCATGTGTGATTCACACTGAAACTTCACAACGTTTGAAGCACAGCTGCAGATGGCTAAGATGATGCTGCATTCACTTCATATAAATTACCACATGCACCAGTTACCAAACAAAGCAGAAAACAACCAAGTACCTACCCTCAGTTACTGTACTTGCCCAAAGTAGTACGCTATAGTTATACATTTTGTACTTTAAGTGATTTTCTGCTACTTTTCTCTCTGAGTACTAATCTGAGTACCTCTCCCACAACTGCTTCTTACTCAGTATACATATTGTAACTCTCCATCACTTCAGCAGTAGGGTGCAAAGTTAAGTTCACTCGTAGTAAACATACTTCAGTCCTTTGCGTAGCGCCTGGAAGACCCTGTCAACCTCATCCGGCTGCAGAGACCAGATTGCTCCTCCCCCTCTGCTGGGAGACAGGTGCGTCCTGGGAGATTTACCTCCTGTCATGGCTTTTGTGCGGAGCGAGTTACGAGCAGAGGATGGGCTGAAAACAGGAATATAAATAAAGACACAGATAGTTATTCACTTTATATAATGCAATAGCAAAGAGCTGAGTTTCACTCTCAGAATGCATAATTAAAAACAACAATTATTAGTTATCACGGTGAAGGGAAGGGAATTTTTACCAAAGCATCCATGTCTTCTTAGACTGACAGCTTTTGGACCTGAACTCAAAGGACAGTGAGGACATTTCGCTCCCAAAGGTGCATTAAGACATGATGATGTATGATGATATGCTGTTGGATGTCAATCAAGATCTCCAAATTAAACAAAGAGGAGTTGTTTGTGTCCTCCAGAGTGACATAAAGAAGTTATTTCTGATCTGACGCCGCTATCTGCAGGTCGACATCCCAAATCACCATTTGAAAACTGCTATGGTTAAGGTTTGGTGAGGTTCAGGCACAAACACGACCTGGTTTGGGGGAAAGAAACCGCTGACTGTCAGTAAACAGGAAGTGAACTGTGGCCTCCTGTGGCAGACGTCTTGTTGATCCATCCACCCACCCTGACCTCTCTCTTACGCAGACTTTGTGGCTCTATAATAACATCACTTCCTCTTTGCTCCTGACAGACAAGAGTCAGAATTCCTTCGGCCGCCAGCGGGGTTTGCTTTGGCCGTTGGCTGAAATGACGAATGCTGTCATTTTTCTCTTTTGTTTTCATAGTTTTATTACAATAATTTCATGGTTCCACAAAGTATTCAGTATGTTTACATATTTTTGAAAGGATTTTTCTTGTAATCTAAACACCCGATGCTACAAACAGAGTGAAAGAAAACCAATCCTCAGCTCCAAATTCATCTTATTATGTACACTTACATGTATTGTGTTTATATGTATAAGCTGATATTCATGATATTCATACGTGCTGGTATGCCATAAGACAGAAGATTAAATAGGTACATTTAACACCAACTTTGGTTTATTTTATACGACAAAATTAAACCAGTTGCTTCTAGGAAGTTAGGACTTTATAGGCATAACCTTTTAAGACTTAATTAACACATTTTATAAGGACAGGGTATATAAATTGTGTTAACAATAACGTTACATGAGGCTGATAACTATCTCACTTAATGAGGTCAGTATT